CGATTTTAACAAAACGTTTTACTTTAGCATAATTTGAGCCATAAAATCTAAATATGGAAAAAAAATTGGCATGTCATTTCAGAAAAAGGTCCGATTTTGTGTCAAAATGTTGATTTTTTGTCCATGTTAGGACAATGCTATATTTAAATCTAATATATATTCTAAGTCGTGCTTTTGAGACATGAAAAATGCAATTTGAATTTCGTCTATGGGCCCAGTAGAACGGGAGATATAGAAGAGTCCCCCCCACCTGATTTTTCAGGGTTCGTAGCGGTCCTCACAAGTGCTTGCAAGTCCTTATATTTGAAAATAGAATATAAAGGCCCTTCTAGGTGCTTACTTTTTCTTTAAGGCCTTTATTTTTTTGTTTTTAGTGCTTATTTTTTTGCTTTTAGTGTTTTTTTTTTTTTTTTTTTTTTTTTAATGAACGCGCAATTTTTCCCCGTACCAAAGCCGAAACTAAATAAATAACTTTTATATGCAACGTCAGATGGTGATTCATACTTCCGGAAATTGCTTTCCCCCCCCCTTCTCTACATTAACGTAACCTAGGGTGCACACGCGAGAATACAGACAGGTGCACGTCGTTCTGTTGGTCAAAGAATTGCGAAAACGGTAGAAAATTCCCTTACATTCGGTATTCTTTTACCTCCCACCCAAATACTATACACGTTTGAATTTCTATCAAGATTTTAATAATTTGCATTCTCGTTCCGCATGGTCAGTTCATATTCGTGTTTATTATGATCGTTATGCTTGTATTATGAGCATATGCATGAATATTTATAATAATATAGTTGCAGTAACTGCTGAAGTATTGATAAACTTCCAAAAATGGGTGTGTTTTTACACAGATTAGCTTTCTAATTAATAATATTCAGAATGGCTTAAATAAAAGGAAAGTAATCGAATAGTCAAGTTTTTTTTTTTTTTTTTTTTGCCCCCGAATTCGTTATACAGTACGGAGGTTGGGAGGTTCTCTCCTTTCTCCGCAAAATCTCTAATATTGAAGGAGCGGACTTTTTTTTTTGTCACTGTCCAATCTGGATTGAATAGGACTAAAAGTTTTTCCGGTATACCCAACCCAAGCGAAGATTGATTCTATTCCGGAAATTTAACGCAGTCTGTTGAAAATTAGAATCAGAAACACCCCAGATTAGTAAGTCTCTTTCTTTTCCTTTATTTAGTTCTTCATTCTCTGAATACCAGCAGGTGTTGATTCCGATTGCGTAATATCACAATGTGGAACAGTTACGCCGCACGTATTGCGCAATAACGTTTGCTGTATTTTGCAGAGATAATTAATTTTGATGTTCAGTCTGAGATCTGTTTATAAACACTTAAAAGAGTTTTACTGTGCTTTCTAAGCAGAATATTTCTCAGTTCCGTTGGTCTCTGTTTACATGATGCACATATCGAAATGTCAAAATCATTTATTTAGCCGAGAAATCTAAAGAACGGCTACAATCTCCCCCACTCCTATTTTTCCAGTTACTATCCGGAATATTCGGCAATTTCCCAGTATGCGGGTTAGTTGAACTTTAACTGTTAAAGGATGACTGCAGGAAGCAATTTCCCGTCTTCTGATTTCAGAAATATACCTCTTTTTTACTTAAATTACTTTGCTTGGAATATATGTTAAAGGAAAACTGTTATGCAATGAAAATTTAGAAAATGTTCAGAATTTTTATTTAAGTTAAATTATTTAAATATTAATAGGAGTGGAAAAATAAATTGCATTTATTATTAGGTGCCAAACGAATACAATTAATATGACTTATTATTATTTATTTTCTATATTTTGAACTGAAATTTCATCATTAAATCTTGTAATATAGTTTAGTTCTGCATAATTTTTTTTTTTTCTCTCATTGTAAACTAATTCTGTAAATTGAACTGTCATTTAAAATTTTTAAAAAAAGTTAATTATTTTCCATGGTTGAGGGAATGCTCATTCTCTTAATAAATATTGCATTGCTCATATTTTAAATTACAAGCGTAATTTTTCTTTTAAGGTTATGCAGTTGTGTATAATGTAATTAGACAGGTGCTTATTTTTTCTTTAAAATGTGCTTGAAAAGTGCTTATAGGTGCTTATTTTTTTAACTAAAATGTGGCAATGAACCCTTTTTTTATGCAGTGTACTTACATATTATCCCATCTACTGTGAAACTGGCACAATAGATGAGGTTTAGTGCTACTCATGGATAAGCATGATGACACAACACAATCATTACATCTGTGCTTTCATTTCATGTAAACCTGACTGACCCTCCATAAGCCAACTTTTGTTTTTATAGACAAGGATATATGTTAATGATTACTGATATAAATTTTTCCTTGCATTTTGAAAAAAATAATAACAATAATTTTACGGCTGCATTTCATCTGATTCATTTTTTACTGAAAGAGTTAACATCTATTAATGTACAAAAGAACGGCTGGATATGGTCAACAAAACAGTAACATATCTGAAATGATATTTGGCCAAAAGTCTGTATTCATAGCATTCTACACAAATCTTGTGGTAAAATTGAAGGTCCTAACAAAACAGCAGAAATCAATGAAAGCCTTTTTTTGCAAAGTGGGTAGAATAATTTTGCAACAGTGGCTATTTGGTTGCAAAGAAACTGATGAATGTTTTACTGTAAGAGTTGTTGATAGATGTGTGGTTCAGAATTTTACAGGAATGACTGGTGTACCTTTGCTGGGATCTCCAGCAATTTTCATGCTTCTCTGATAACCAGCTTTAATATATTAGTGCCCAAATTTACTTTTAAGCGCATTTACAAACAATGTAATTAGCTAATTCCCAAGCAATTTTTTATTTATTTATTTACTTAATTTTTTCCCTCTATGAATTAAGAAATTTAAAAGAAATCATCTAAAAATGATTTTTAAATGCTTAATATAAAATAGAATATGATAAATGATTAATATTCTTTGACTGTAACAAATTATATCAAAAATCCATTTCACAGAACTAGAATATGAAATAAAAGAGTTGCTACAGAAAATGTGAAAAAAAAACTAACCTTTTCAAAAAATAGAGAATAATGACAGATAAATGGCTGAAATATCACAACTCACTTATGAAAATTATAAAAATGATTACCTCCAGTTGCTCCATGTTCCCATACTGTAATTTTATTGTTGTAATTAGCAGCTGTCATGGTGCCTAATCTGCTTAAAAAAGCATACATTAAATCATAGATTCCCTCTCTTTCTATCTATATATACTATCATATGTAACATATATACAGAAAAACTTAAAGAAATATTTAATAAAATGGCACCATAAACAGAACAATTAAAACTATGTATATAACTTAAAATTTTAGGAAACCTAATGCTTATATAAAAAGCATTTCAAAAATATAATGTGGTCAGCATGTGATCTCCTAGCAATTCTATACTTTAAAGATCAAAGAGCTTTAAGTAAAGTATCACTTCTGGTTGATTGTTTGTTAATAAAATCTAATTTGTTTAACATTAAAAAGAAAGGTCAGGAACAGAAAATTGAGAGTAATATTTTATTAATTTTGAGTAATTTATTATTATTATTGGCCATGTGTCAAAACTGATTTTTCTAAATTTATAATAACATAATCCAATGTTTTTGCCTTCAATTTGTTTTATTAAAAATTGTACTTTTATTGAGCAGTTTAATAATGCATAATTTAATTAGTTTCTCATTAAAGAAATTGAAATGTTTATAATATGTTGAAAATAAATACTTTGAAACAAATACCATAATTTAATTTTCTTCTACATTATTTTTATAATATTAACTGATCTAAATTCATTTTAATCTGCATGCATATTTCCCTGATATTTTGGTATTGGTAAACAATGCACATTCAATTGCAACAATATATAATGGCTTATATTTGCAATAATATGTTATGTTGATTATTAGAAAACTGTTATGGCTTCAATTAAAGTACCACTTCTAGTTGCCCACTAAAACTGTTATGGGCTTCAAGTAACACTTCTGTTAAGACAATTTTACCCCAAATCTAATCAACTCTTTATATGAATGTAGAAAGCTTGAATACAGGAAAGCAGGAATTTTTGGAAGTTTTATGCAAGACTTATCATGGAATAAAAAAATAGTAACAGGCATACACAGACAAACATACATTACAGTTAAAGCTATAAAGAACAAGTTGTGGAGACCCTAATTTGTGCTCTTTCACTAAAAACTCACTATCAAATTTTTGGACCATTACCTTCCTTCATATGTATATAGACTGAGGAGGAGAGTGATAGAATTCTCAACCTCTTTCCAAGATCAAATACCAGGATGTCATCTAATTTTCTTTTTCTTATTAGATGATTAAAAGGAGTCACAATCATTCCACAGTAATTGTTGTGACTCCTATTAAGTTTAGCATTCCCCATTTCTTATTATTTAATAGTTTGTTTTGTAATTTTGCTTGATGTTTGAATCTGACACTCAGTTTTGTTTTTGGATGAACAAATTCCCGTTCTAAGCAAGCAGCAGTTAAGTTACAGAAATACTGAATGTTTTTCATCATTAAGATGTATGGATCATTTCATCACATTCTAAGCAGTTACGTTACTGAGATGCTGACTGTTTCTCATCATTAAGCTGTACAAATGATTTGATCACATTCTAAGCAGTTAAGTTACATTACTGAGATGCTGAATGCTTTTCGTCATTAAGATGTACGGATCATTATACTAACCATGTAAATAATCGCATTTATCTGTATGTGTTCGTAAAGTGAAATAAATTGGATATAAAATGAAGTCTGATTTCGAATCAAAACAGTAATAATACTGGATCAACACAAAAATTTATTAAAAAGTGTTTTTCCTTTTTCAACTGAAAAAGATGTTTTGGAGATACACATACTTAAGAAGTTTTACTATGTTACCTGCAATATATGCATTTCCTAAATGAACAACAACATAAAAATTATAAATTTTAAATTTCTATCATAAATCACTTTTATAAAATACAAAAACATTAAAGTGAAATTTACTTACAGATATAATGATGTAAAAGATCCATATTTTATGCCATTTCTTATAGCTCCGGTAATACCAGCTAACGTCATACTGTCTGTTAGTTTCCTCTACATAAAATATAAATCTATTCATTTCTAATAAATCTGGTTAAGTTACAAAACAACACTTGAACAACTTTTATCCACACCAGATATTGCATATTATGAAATCTCATAAAAATTAACATAACAGTAATAGATATTAAGTTAATCTTCAATATAAACTGTTGAAAATCTGCAACAAATTTAATTTAAACAAAATTCTACAAAATATTTTGAGATTACACATTTTTGTACTATCTTTAGTGAATGAAAAGTATCAAATCACAGGCTTTGAAGTCTAATAGATATTTTGAATAACTGCTGTCTGGTCACAGTTTAATATTTCTGAACGCCATTAACAAAATTAACCCCTACCCCCCCCCAAAAAAAGAAAGGAAAAGAAGAAGGAAAAAATTATTTTCTATATTCTAACTGTAACTGAACTTATTTCATATTAATTTCTCAATATTAGACAAAATTTATTTTTGTGGAGCAAATATTGCATATTAATAACAAACTTATTTCGCATCCGAAAATACATTAAAACCATGATAATATATAAATATAAGAAGAAAAAGTAACCTAAAATTAATAATCAAATTAATTTAGTCATTCAAATAAAAATAATAGCTGTGAATATTTACAGCAATGATTTAAAGAACAATATTTAACCTTTGTAATCTTTTAAACTTTTCAAATTTGCAATAAGCACAAATTATAAAGCATAATAATAATGGCAAATGATCTCGAAATAAAAAAGTCAATAAGTAATAATATTTACATAGAAATAAAAATTAAAATAAAATAATGGGAAAATCATTAAACATTAAGCCAAAAACAACAAAAGCTAATAAGCTAAATTAAAACAGATTATACTTAAGTTAATTTTGCTCTTTCTTAAGAGGTTGATCAAAATCAAGCCAATTTTCAGTTTTCCAGTGTCATGGAAAATCAAAACAGAGTTCTTGTAAGCAGTAAAATACCCAAACATAAAATGAATTCTTTTTCTTTTTTTAAAGAATTTGACATTTAAACTTAAAGTCATTTAGGCATTATAATACTCTGATCCTCAATACTGCCTTAATTTCAAACAGAAGTGGTTACAAGTAAATTAATTTAATAAAAAATTAAAGTATATAAAATAAAACTGGTTTAATATTTCCAAATCATTTATCATTGTTTATGCTTAATACACTGGTGTGCAAACATTAAGCAACAGGTGTTCTTTTTGACATAAATCCACGAGATATCATCTGAGAGACATGAAATTCAGAAATAAGAGACAGCATTTTGTATTTAAACGATGACAAAAGCATAATTGCGCAAAAATGAATACTACGCATACAGTATGGAATTAAACAAAAACAGGCTTTATTGAACTCATGGTTAGACATGATTGTCTGTATAAGAGGAAGAACAACAAGCATATGTTCCTTAGTATTGGATATGCCCTCCCCTTACTGCAATGGTTGCTTCTCACCGTCTCCCCACACTCAGCACCAGATTGTCCAACAGATCTTGAGGTGAGAGTGCCCATTCCTCAATCAGCATCTGTTTCAGTTGTTGGGTGTTCGCCAGAGGATGTAATCGTGCCTCAAGGCATCTCCCCAAAGCATCCCATACATGTTCTATGGGATTTAAATCAGGGGAGTACGCTGGCCAATCCATTCGAGTGATAACTTCACTTTTCAATAGCTTTTGAACAGCAGGAGTCAGGTATGGCCGTGCATTGTCATCCATAAAAACAAAGTCTGGTCCAATTGCACCCCGTAACAGACGCACACAGGGAAGGATCACCTCCTGATAATAGCGATCTCCGGTTACAGAACTTCTGTCGAAAACGTGGAGCTCTGTCAGCCCGTTCAGCATAATGCCTCCACAGATGAGATCTCCAGGACACCATAATGGCCTCTTTCCGTGATGTTACTGAGATTAAACAGCGTCCTTACCTCTCTCCAAATAAGTTGGCGTTGACAATCGCTTGGGGCACTAAAGCGACTCTCATCCTTAAGGAGGATACAAATCCATTGATGAGATGCCTAGTTTTTGCGCTCCTTGCACCACTCTAAACGGTGGCGCCGATGGCCAACTTTCAAAGGGATGCAGCGTTCAGGACGGCGGGCGAATAGGCCATCTTTGTGAAGGTGTCTGGACACAGTAAACCACGACAATTGTCGCCGGTTGCTGTACACAGTTGCTGAGCTGTGGAGCTTGCTTACTGGTTTTGGGTTCTTTTCACCTGTAGGATGATATATCGGTTACCTGCTGCAGTTGTTGTCCTGGAATGGCCAACACCAACCTTTCTAATAGCTGTACCTATGGTTTGGAAGGCTTTCCAAGTCCGCGAAACGACACTTTTGTTGACTTCGAAATCTTCAGCCACACTGTTCACACTATGCCCCTTCTCCAGCTTTTTGATCATTCTTCCACTCGTGAAGTCATCCAGATGATTTCTTCTAGCCATATTTCATGAAAGATTTCACTTGGACTTGCAGCGAATGTCTTTAATTGCGTCTTCGTTGTTCCTTTTATGGTAGTCTCAAGTGTACGCGTTTGCGTACGATCACGTAGCCTGTGATGTTTCTTTCCGGACTTTAGCATATGCACGACCTTTCTACTGAATTGCAAGTTCATTGTACCGATAGCAAGAACCCCTTTTCTACAACTGCATGGTTATCTGATTAAAATTTGCATTGTTGCTTAAGTTTTGACAACAGTGTAAATCATTTATCATTGCTTATTGTATTCATAAAATGCTTTATAATTTTGCTTATTGTATTAGAAAAATTTTTTAAATATATAAAGGTTATATATATATAATACAAAATAAATTTAAAATCCATCAATTTGGAACAAATCATTTGAAAATACCAAAAAACAGATGCACAATGGCAAACTGTATAAAAAGGTGCAAAAACCGCCAAAATCAAATGGAAAAAAGAAATTTGTATCTTTTGCTGCACTATTAACGGAGTTGGTGCAATGAAAGATTAAACATTTTTTTTACAAAAAATTATTTTGAGCAGAACCAAGTTGAAAAACAAACCATGTAAACACAAGCAATCCAACACATGGGGAAAAAAAAGGTACTATTCTGTTTTGAGGGCCGTAAGAAAATTGCAGCGAAAATATATACGCAAAAGCTCCAAATCTAGCAAACGCGCCCATTTAACAGCGCACCAAATCTAGCGTACGCATTGATTTCAGATTGCGTAAGTTTATATAGTTCTATATTTCTTAAGATGCCATTGAAATACTAGTTTAATTTTTAAATCCTTTTTTGATATCCTATGGATTTAACAACTTTTGAATTGCCCATGACAATAGAATTTTGGTAATTTGCAATAGAATTTTGGGTAAAGTGCAGAATCACCCACTGCTTGACGCGTTTTTAAGAATTGCACATACTTGGTATCCATGTGCACATAAACCTATTTTCACTTAAATAAAATCCTAGAATTGCACAAAAATGGCACTGCGCACACCCTTGACTTTATCTATGTACACATCGATCTATTTTCACTTAAAAAGTAAAAGAAAATTGACAAAAATCCAATTGTTTTTACCCTTGCAAAAAGCGGCAAACAAATAACTGAGCGATTCTGCACTTTCCTGAGAATATTTTCAAGGAAAAGGCATCATTCATTATAGAAAATTATGTTTGAACAACCAACGAGAAATTATGCTTTAGCGATAAGTCGGTAGCGAAACAGCAATGCAGGCATCCATTCAGTTATGTTTAGCAATTTTTATATAAATTATAATAATGATCTGAAATAGTTATTTACTCTTATGCTTTGATTCAGTCATGTTTAGCCTTTTTCATATAAATTTAATAATAAAAATGTATTATATAAAATTAACCTTTCATCTAAATTAAAACATCAATCTTAGGTAGTTATTTACAATTATACTTCCTTTCTTGTCGCAATTATTAAGGTTGCCATAATTCTTTTTGGCAGCATTGGCAGCAACAATAATTTGGCGATTTTTTTGGCCCTCGAAACCGAATAGTATCAAAAAAATAATATATGCTAACTCAGTCGGCAAGACATGACATTGTCATACACAGGTTACTTTGATGGATTTTCCGAGATTATTTTAAGTATTCAACTTTAATCTGTGTCTTTATTGAATCAGAAACAGGCTGATGCATTTACTTCTTTCACTGCACCCAGCCTGTGAGATGTTATTTTTATTTATTTATTTATTTTTTTTTTTTTTTTTTCAATTTTGCTTTTGGAATTTTTGCACCAACAATCATGCACTTTGCTACTGTGCTTCTGTTTTTCTGTTTTTTGCTTATGGTTTGTTCTGAATTGAAGATGAGATGGATGGATTTTAAACTTATTTTTTAATTTATTTTACACTACTACCACCACTTTTTGTGGCTTTCAGCATGCAGATGGATTATATTTTGAACTGCTTTTTACTTCGTATTTATTCATTTTTTAAAATATATACAAATATCTTCTGAATAAACTTTGATTAACAAGATATCTCAATGAATTTCATTTACAATTAAAAAAACATGTGATTATGATTAGTTTTATATCATAAATCTCTGATTAATCTCTAGTTATATAATTTAAAAAAAAGCAGGACATCAATTATATGATAACTACATCTTTTAAAACAACTATCGATAATTAACAAATATCATACTGCAGTCCTCATTTATAGATTAATTTAATTTCAATCTATATGTGTAAATAAAACTTTTGCATTTTTAATATTTTTTTCCTTAAGCCTCCAATGTTATGGCTTTGCAAATGAAATTCCAAAGTTCTCCAACTATTCATGGAAAGATATATTTTCTTGATTATAATTCTACAATTAGACTGTGATTTTGTACTTGAACTTGGCTTCCCACAAATTGTGATTATACGAGAGATGATGTTAATAATTAATCCAACAGCAATTAAGAAAACCAAGAAAAAGCAAAGGAAAAAGAATAACCTGTATTACAATTAGCAAAAAAATATTTGAGTAGAAAGTCTGAGATTTAGATTCGAACAGACTTCTGT